ATGACATATTTTCTTCATTTTCATGCCTATATAAAAGTGTTATAATAGATAGGAAAATACACACAATTGAAGAAGAAAATCTCTTCCTTCTCTATGTCTATTTCTTGTTCATGTTTTACTAAATTGCTTTTATTTCTTGTTCATGTTTTACTAAATTACTTTTATTTCATAGCACATTTTGATATTTTTACATTTTTCCGCGAGATTTTTGAGCCAAAGTGGATTGTCGCTCTCATTCAAAAGGTTTCAACTCTTAAAGGTTAAGGGGTAAAATGAGTTTTGCTCTTCTTTCTTTTTTTCTTCTAATGATTGACAAGTACAATCAGCTCGAATGTTGAGAAGAATATCTAGTACTGTTATGCCAAATTTAGGATACTAAGGTTCTTTGAGAATTTGGTTCGGTGTGAAAAATAATATTGAACATTACGATATAAATTTGTAATATGTACCGGCTAATTGCATTTTTTATTTTCTAAAAGAAATTTAAAAAATATATTTGTAAAATAAAAGACTAAATTTTTATGTATTGAATATTACTGTATACTATAAAGTTTACAAATAATGAATAATTAATTTCTTTTACTTTGGAACTAGGGATGTATCCAAATGTAAATAGTTACAAGTAACACTCAATCTATCCTATTATTATTGAAACAAAATAATTCTGCAATTTTTAGTTGCAAGCTACTAATGTATAACTTTTCCTCATTTTTTCCTTTATAATTTTGTGATATTTGAGTCAAGTATTAAGTTCATTTTTTTCTAAAAATTATTGTAACAAGACACATTATTTTTTTGAGATCTTATATCTTTTAAATTGCAAATTTCCCCGTAGCCACTTAGTGATAATTTCAACTATATCATTTTGCATCTTACACCTTATATGGGTAAAAGTGGTTAGCGACAGTTGGATGGATGATGAGATGACACGTGGAACTGAAGACAGACAAGATATGAGTCAGCAAATAGTTGGCACTGAATACAAGCATGTGACCAGTGCTGAATAAGTTCTGAAGGCATTGGAAGCGAGAACGAAAATATGATAGGAAGACATCGGTTAGAAAAGACAGCATCTAATGAGTAGCCGTTACAAAGAATCTATGTATTAACGTTCGACCGTTATGTAGCTATCATTAAGGGTTTTATTCTTAATCAATAAGAACTTGATTTTAGGATCTTGTCTCCTTGAATAGAGCTATAAATAGAGAAATTTTGTACCCATAATTAGACACGAAAAATCATATGTACTCAAAAGGCTATAAGTTGCTCTTTTTATATCAAATTATTCTCTTTATTTTTGTTCTTAATATTGCACTTATTACTGCTTCCGGAGAAGCTACATCAATGGCCAGAATTGTATTTTTTCAAGTTATTTTTGTTCTTGTTATTTTTATATTCTTGGAACAACTAATTTACGTGTCTATAAACCACGTTACAAATTCAACTGTACCGTTTTACAGGTAAACAATTTGGCTCCCACAGCGAGGCATAGACAATTGTGTAATTATTTGTTACTAATGCGGTTTGATTCTTTTCTTTATTAAAAGAAAAATTAGATATGACAGCTAATGATGTGAGAACCTCTTACAATGATGGAACAAACAACGAGGATGTGTTCCAGCGTGATGTTTTAACTAGTGAAACTCGCAAAGGGGATGAAACAACTCCGGTTCGTGGAGAACAAAACCCTCGGCATGTGAGAAGACCAACTCTTGATGATATGGACGATGAACGAGTTGTTGAGATAGTTAAAATTTTGAGGGAGTAACAAAGGGAAATTATGAATCACCTCTTAAGGCAAAATCGGGTAATGACGGAATTGAAATAGGCGCTTTCGATTGCTTCCAACAACTCCAATGGAGGAGTTCGGATTTCTCCCAGCGTCCTAGCAAATCAAACAGTTCAAAGGACCGGTAACGATGCTCCAAGGGAGGAGTTCGATTTTAATGAGGCCGACGGTGCAGATAGTGGATTTGGGAACGACAATAATACTAATGATCCTTTCAAAACTGAGCTCATGATATTTATGAGAGAAATGAATGAACGAAAGGACCAAAATAATAAGAAATGTTATGCTCGGATGGATTAGATTCCGGTTCCACCATCGGTGTTAAAGGGACCAGATTCAAAGATGTATACACAATTGCCATTCATACCAAGTGCAGCACCAGAATTATTTCGATAATATTTAAGATGCCTGACATCCAGAAGTATGATGGGACTTCGAATCTACAAGAGCATATCACAACTTATACTACGGCAGTAAAGGGAAATGACTTGGCCCCGTATGAGATCAAATCTGTTTTGTTGAAAATTTTCACGAAATCCTAACAAATGGTGCTTTAAATTGGTATTCTCTTTTATATGACCATTCAATTGATTCTTTTGAAATGCTTGTAGATTTGTTCATTAAAGCTCATGTTGGGGTAAGAAGGATCCAAGCTAGAAAGGCAGATATATTCAGAATCGCCCAAGGAGAATCTGAACTATTGTGAGAGTCCGTGATCCAGTTTCAGAAGTAAAGGATGTTGTAACCGAAAGTATCGGACGTCTGGGCAGCTGAAGTATTTACCAAGGATCTCAATGCATTAAGCTCTGATGCCTCAAAGAAGTTAAAGGAAAGTTTGTTAGAATTTTAAGTAACTATATGGGCAGATGTCCACAATCGCTATAAATCAAAAATTAGAATAGAAGATGATCAAATGAGTTCCTCGGTGTCTTCCAAAGGACATAACGTAATTGGAATTAGGAGAAGTTCAAAACTGATTTCGATGCAGACCGAAGACCTTCTAGGATCACGATGATTCTTTCTCTTGTAAAGTTTTTCTATTACGGCTACAACTTCAACATCAGTTTAGTAAAGATGGTTTTGGCTTTTAGAAATATTAAGGAGGAAAGATTTTTGAAACATATTCAATCGGATCCTAGTCAAAGAGATCCTAATCTATGGTGTGAATTCCACGGAACACATGGACATAGATCTAAGGACTGTCAGCACCTTCGGGAAGAGGTTGCAGTGCTACTGAAGAATGGTCACCTTAGAGAATTTCTAAGTGATCGGGCCAAAATCAATTATGGGAAAAATCAAGACACTGGGGAGACGGCTAAACTAGCTGTAGGGTCACCTCACTTGACGATTAACATGATCTTTGGTGGTGACGAAGTAAATGGGGTGATATTTTTAGCAGCAAAGAAGACAAAAATATCAAAAACTCATGGCAAGAGGATTCGAGAAGCTTCAGAAGATGATGACATCACCTTTATAGACGATGATGCTAATGGCCTTCTTCTACCGCACAATAATGCTATGGTAATATCACTTAATGTCTTAAATTTTAAAATTAAATGTGTGTTGGTTGATCCAAGTAGTTCAGACAATATCATACAATGGAGAGTATTGGAGCAAGTGAAGTTAACCGGAAATATAGTTCCGGCAACAAAGCTTCCAGCCGGGTTCAACTTAACAAGCGTTATGATTCGATGAGAGATTTTACTGCCCACGCATGCCGAAGGCGTAACAAAGACCACTTTGTTCGAAGTTGTAGATTGTGATATAGGATACAACGTGATCCTTTGAAGGTCATAGATGCATGAAATGAAAGTTGCACCATCAGCTTATCATCAACTGCTGAAGTTTCCCACACCGGAAGTGTTCAAACAAATTAGAGGAGATCAACCAGCTGCAAGAGAAATGAATGCAGTTACCTTGTCCAGTAGCAAAGGAAAAGAAACAAGCAAATAGAAACTACAGTAGTTAGTGCCCTCTTCCATCCCTATTGAATATAATGGAGAGGAGGAGTCATTGGATTTCTATTAGGTACCAAGGTCTTTTCAGGTACCGGAGTGTCACGTCCCAAAATCTATTAATGGTCGTGATGGCGTCGGACACCATTGTCAGGCAAGCCAACATTAAATAATTAGTTAAATTCTCATTTTAGTATTTTTGAAATTATTTTTTTCCTTACATTAAACAATAACCGATGAACTTCACAGAGTAAATAATGATGTCTTTAACAAAATTAAAATACTGAATAATCCCATAGTCATCCCAGAACCCGGTGTCACAAGTGCATGTGCAATTTTTAGGAAATAAAATGTAATATAATAACTGTCCGGAATACAACTTAGACAAAAAAGAAAATACAATACTCTGAAGGAGACTCTACTGGTTGCGGGTTGTCTCGAGAGATGCAGCTCACCTAAGTCACCGTATCAACCATGTCGTTGTGCCCAATGAGGCCACAAGACATACATATTCCCGTGCAACAAAAATGCATAGCAAGTGTAGTATGAGTACGAAAACAACGCGTACCCAGTAAGTATCTAGTCTAACCTCGAAAAAGTAGTGATGGGAGGTCAACTTCGACACGTACTAGCGGTCCAATAATGTAATACCAACAGTGTGAAAAATCATGGATTTTATAAGGCGACTGCAAACTCAATAATCATGAAGTAGTTAAATAATTCTTTTGTTAATAGAAACTTTTAAACTTATTGTCACGCCCCGAACCTGGGGGGACGAGATCGACACCCGATGCCTCATCTATCCTTGGATACCAACTTGCGACTAAGAGGCTCTGAATATATAATGTCATACTTTGGCCATGGTCCACAATGTAAGACAATTTGTGAAGCAAAATATAAAACTGAATGGAAGCTAATGCTGACTAAATGTCAATATAAAGCTGGGCCGGTAAGGCCATCATAACTACTATAGCTGACAAGCTAACAAAATATACATACAGGGCCTACAAGCCCAACATACTGCACTAACTAACAGGATATGTCTACAAGCCTCTACTGATGGATGTACTGTGATCAGAACAAGGCCCCAACCTACCCATAACCTCTATGCATATATACACAATATGTACACAAAACTTTTAGACCCGGCAACTCCGAAAGACATGGAGCTTACCGATAAAGCTGAATTCGGGCAACACCTACTGAGGAGGTTTAGTCGCATGTCTGTCTGAACCTGCATGCATGAAATGCAGCGTCCCTAGAAAAGGGGTGTCAGTACGAAATAATGTACCGAGTATGCAAGGCAATAATATAACTGAAAGCTGAAACTGAACTGATAATATAATAACTGAAACCAGCTGGAAGTCAAAGATAATCTGAAGATATGTTTACTTGTTGATACTGACTCAACTTTCTCAATATAGTGAGTAAAATAGTTGTCCGTCCCTATATATATATATATATATATATATATATATATATATATATAACTGCTCTACTGTAGTAGGCTCGCTCATAGGCACTTGGCCATACTAGGCTTTGTATCTCGACCAACTGGGCTCGCTCATAGGCGCTGGACCACAGTAGGCCCGGTATATAACTTACCATCTGATCAGAGATTGCCCAATAGAGGCCTACCCATCGATTATAGATCGATGGTAGTGAAAATACTGTAATATTGTATATATAGACTCTCTGCTCTCTTGACTGAAAGAAGAAAATACTCAATTGAATATGAAGTCATGTTAAGGAGAATACTGTAACTTACAAGACTAGGAAAATGTACATTAATTCCGGAATATGAATTTCTCTTTATGTCTCGTTGTCAAATGTATGTAATTACGAGATCATGCCAAAATGAAGGAAGTGCTTAGCCTTAACATACCTGGAGTAGGAAGAATCCGTATGATATTCTTAAGAAGGATTGCACTGTACTCCGTTAGAGTTGCAAAATCCCGTTGTTATTACGCAGTGCAATTTTGTATGATTTTCTTTACAAATCTAAGAGTGTCGTCACTATAGTAACGTGAGGTATCATTTGAACTTCAAAGGTCCCCTCACCTATATTCCTTGCTTTTCCTTTCTATACAATCTTTGCCAAAGAAATGGATTTGATATCTTTGAATATGAATCGAAAGATACGTAGTATCATATCTATCTTTTAATTTGATCCTTGCCTTATATTGAATTGATTGCTACATAACCCATAATGACTAAGAGTAATATGGTTTGGTGGTGTCTTAATGCCACGTAGGGGTGGGAGGGATTTTTAATCTTATCCCTTAACTTATTAATTAATTTGGTAATATCCTGTTACCCGATAATTAATCAATCCCTCACATAATTAAGAATTATCTTAAATTACTTAAAATTCTACTTATTTTTAATACACTTTATATATTATACTATCATGGTCATATGGTACCTTATATGGTGCTAGTCCATAAATATTAGGTATTATCACTCGGACCATATTTTATCCCAAATCGACAACCTTCAACGAAACTCATTTTCTTCTATTTGCTTACCTTCTCTCCTTCACGAATTTACCCATCATGTGTTTGAAATAGAATAATGCTTATAATCTCAAGAAAATCTTATCATCGAGTCTACATCAATTAACTAAAGATGAAACTTTAACATACGAAAAATGCGAGATGTAACATCCTTCCCCCGTTAGAAACATTCGTCCTCGAATGTTTACTCTTAGATACTTTGGGAAAATTTTACCAGAGTCTCCTCCATACACTAGACTAAAACCACCCTGCACGCAGCCAGAAAACATACTATACATGCTACACTTGGCCTCTCACAACTTTCTATTATAAATTCTGAAAGTCAAAAATAAGAGCTTACCTGATGACCTACCGGCCTGAATAGAGCTGTATTGAGGTATCCCACCTCGAGCCGTATATTCAGTTTGAAATAGGTGGGGGTATTTATACTTCATTTCTTCCTCCGCTTCCCACGTCATCTCTTCCATCTCCTTGCTTCTCCATAAAACCTTCACGGAGGCTATCTCCTTACTTCGTAGTTTGCGGATTTGTCACTCTAGGATGGCAACCAGTATTTCGTCGTATGACAAGTCCTCCGTAATCTGTACATCATCTATGGGCACCACTCGGGTAGGATCTCCAATGCACTTCTGTAACATAGATACGTGAAAAACCGGTTGGACAGACTCCAATTCCGAGGACAATTCTAACTCATAAGCTACTTGGTCCACTCTCCGAATGATCCTATAAAGTCCAATATACCGTGGGCTAAGCTTGCCTTTCTTACCAAACCTCATCACACCCTTCATAGGTGACACCTTTAAGAATACCAGTCATTAACCCCGAACTCTAAGTCTCGTCGCTGTACGTCAGAATATGACTTCTAATGACTCTAAGCTGTCAATAGTCGCTCTCGGATAAGCTTTACTTTTTCTATGGCCCGCTGAACTAGGTCTGGCCCATGTAACCTAGATTCTCTAACATTAAACCACCCTATAGGAGATCTGCACCTATGCCCATACAAAGCCTCGTACGGAGCCATCTGGTTACTGAAGTGGTAATTGTTATTATATGCAAACTCGATAAGAGGTAGATGTTCATCCCAACTTCTTTTAAAATCCAACATACATGCTCGTAACATATCCTCGAGCATCTGAATTGTGCGCTTGGCTTGTCCATTAGTTTGTGGATGAAAAACTGTGATGAGATTCACCTAAGTCCCTAGACCTTTCTGAAATGACCTCCAAAAATGTGTTGTAAACTAGGCCCCACGGTCAGATATAATAGATACTAGTACTCCGTGTAGTCACACTATCTCATTAATATATAATTTTGCATAACCTTCTGTTGTATATGTAGATCTGACCGGTAGGAAATGAGCTGATTTCGTGAGCCTATCGACTATCACCCATATAGAATCAAACTTATGATGAGAACGAGGTAAACCCGTGATAAAGTCCATGTTTATCGCCTCCCATTTCCATGTTGGGATCTCTATAGTCTGCATTAGCCCTCCGGGATTCTGGTGCTCTATCATCACCTGCTGGCAACTAGGACACTTAGCGACATACTCAACAATGTTCTTCTTCATATTGTTCCACCAGTACACATCCTTAATGTCATGATACATCTTCGTCGACCCAGGATGAATGTAGTACCACGAATAATGTGCCTCTGACATAATCATGTCTCGTAGCCCTGCTACATCTGGAACACACAAAAGACCCCCATATCTAAGAACCCCATCTCTCTTGAGCTCTAACAACGGCTTCTTCTGCTAGGGAACTCGCTCTCTCAACTCGACCAGCTCTGGGTACTCATATTGCCTCTCTTTTACTTCAGCTATGAGAGATGATTTTGCAGTATTTTGGAGTACACATCCACCATTGCCAGAGTTTACTAACCGAACCCCCGAACAAGCCAATTGATGAATCTCTCTAGTTAATTGTCTTTTCTCGGCCTCTACATGTGCTAAGCTGCCCATAGATTGGCGACTTAAGGCATCTGCTACAACATTAGCTTTCCCTGGATGGTAGATAATGTTAACATCGTAATCTTTCAATAACTTAAGCCATTGCCTCTGTCGCAAATTCAACTCTTTTTGCTTGAAGATATATTGCAGGATTTTATGATCTGTGAATATATCAACATGAACACCATATAAATAATGCTGCCATATCTTAAGGCATGGACAACCGCAGCTAACTTGAGGTCGTGGGTCGGATAATTCCGCTCATGCTTCCTTAAATGCCTTGAAGCATATGAAATTACTTTCCCATATTGCATCATGACACATCCTAACCTGACACCTGAGGCATCGTAATACATGGCATAACCATCTGGGCCCTCTGGAAGTGCTAGAACTGGCACTGAGGTCAACCTGTTCTTAAGCTCCTGGAAACTCTGCTCATAGGCCTCTATCCACTGAAACTTAGTTGCTTTCTGTGTCAACTTCGTTGATGGTGCTGAAAGAGAAGAAAAGCCCTCTACGAACCTCAAGTAG